GATAATAGAACCACTTCCGACAATAGAGAGAGAATAATCTGAAAAATAACAACAAACAAAAGAACAGTATAATAAATAAATTAATTAATAAATACATAAATAAATAAACTCTCTTTTTTTGCTAACAAGATGTATCATTGATTTTTTCTTCTTACTTTGTCCAGTAATATTTTCATCAATTTCCTGGATCACACTGCCATCAGAATGTGCTTGACATGTTAAAATGCCTGCAGTGGCCATACTAAATGCATTTATAGTCAATTGAAGCTGTTTGCCAGCATGAGAAGGTAAAGGTACAGTCTCTATTGTAACTTCATCATTAGTAGAGAGTGTTTGATTGTTGAGTTTGAAGGAGAGTGAATCATGACTAGAATTATCAGTGAAACAGTAAATGGTGAAAGACTCTCCAGAGAATGGCTGCAATAATACTTCTGAGCTAGGAGTATACACCCAAACTAAGCTTCCTACGAGCAAGAGAGAGAGGAGAAAAGAGAGGGAGAATGACCAGCTGAAGGTGGTGCTAGACAATCTTACCTTGTACTGGTGCAGATATGATAGCTACAAGTGCTAACAAGGTTAACAGATGTGATTGGGACATCTTGACAAGAGAGAGGAAAGGGAGATAAAGAAAGAAAGAGCTGCTGCTTTTAACACTCTTTTTCTAAATAATAAACAACACGAGGCTAATGATGAAGCCTTTTTATGATTGCCTCCAAACGGATGTTAGGTAATATTATTAATTAATTATTTATTATCACGTAAATTAAATCAATTATCACGTGTAGAACTTTGGTTCTAACTTTTCAGGAACAGTTTTCACAGTTAAAAATAACAATAAAAAGTAAAAAAATATATATTAATTTGATCAATGATGTAAATAATTAATGGTTAAAATGTACTTTATAGCATAAAAATCTTTAAAAGGAGAGAGTGATGACAATAACATAAGAAGTTTTTAAAGTAATAAAAAATATGCCAAATAAGAATGTAAAAAATAATAATAAAAAGGAAATAAAAATGTGAATATATAACTGAAGCATCATGTTACTGAACAAAGTGATAAGAGGGTTAATTGCCAAAGAGTTGGTGAGAATGAAGAAGCTGTATAAAAGAGAAAGAAAAAATATCACAGAATACTTAGAAATTACAAAAACTCCCGTTCTATCCACATTCATCCACATTGGACTGTGTTACATTACAAGGAGCTAGTGTTGTGTTTTGATAGCTAAGTATAAAAAGGAAGGCCGTGGTTAAATGCCAGCAGCCACTAATCCCTCCTATTCTCACTCACCAGCTGCCCTACACTAAGATACTACTGCACTAACTCTACATTACAATAGGCTAAAGGTATTAACAGTGCTATAATATAATCATGGGACTAGTGAATGCTTTAATTACATACATGTAATTACAGTTTATGATAAACTAACTGCAAACAATAATAACCAATAAAGCAATACTTTTTCCTTATACTT